GGGTGGGTCGCCGTGTGGAGTGGTGATCGAGCGGCCAGGAGGTGCAGGTCCTCATTTCCTGCAATGAGGGGCCACCTCCTTTCGCTGAGATACTGGGCCACTCGCCCCGCAGGCGCACCGCCCCAGGTGGTTATCACAGCATCTGCGAGGAAGGAGCGTCAAACCGCGAACCCTGGACCCATTCAGTCAGCGCCCACGGAGATGGTGGAGAGATAAGGACGCTGCCCCGGTGGCTATGGAAACCGAGGCAGATGGTCTTGGGTAGAAGAGCTAAGTAGGTTCCAAGGCCGCCCGGAAGCTGGCAGGACCCGTTGCGGGTCACCCGCCCGAATGTCCGGGACTGCAGCCCCACTGGATCCCATAGCGCTGTGAGAGCGCACAGGCCGCGGAGGCTGCTTGGATGGGACCCTCTCTCCGGCCCCTCAGAGGACTCTACCTTAATAGGCAAGAACTGAGAGAAGGCGTGGGGTGCGGCTGCCCTGCCCCCTGACAGCTGCTCCCGATCCAGGCTCGTGGAGGGGAAGTCGGTCCTTCTGGCTTCGACTGACAGGAAGACTTAAAAAGGAATCTAAGTCCTCGGACTTTAATGTGTTGTGGAGATAGGAGAAGGGGGCAGTTTTGGTTTTGCTTTGTTTTATTAAGTTAGGCAGCTGGCTGGGGAAATTAGGCTCCCACTCCTGTTGACTAAGCGTCCACAATATGTGGTGCCAGACAGTATGGCGAGACAATAAAGCGTAAAACTCGAGAGCTTATGCGTTAATTCACAAAAATTTAGCTTTCTATTACAGGCCAGATGTAGTAGCAGGCCTCGGGGATTCAACAATGAGGAGAAAGCTAGACCTGGTCCTAGAGGGTTTACCCTCTGGGATGGTGGAGGCAGACTGTAAGCAAATAATTATCACGAGGTAAGGAGGTCAGTCAGGTCTGGGGCAAGCAGGGCCTGGCCTCACTGCATTGCCATGGAAGACTATGCTGAGAAGCAAGGGCCTGATCTTGAATGAATCTAAGGAGAGAGGAAGAGCAGTCAGGCAGAGGGGGTGTGCTCCGGCACGGGGCTGGAGAGAGCAAGGCCTCTGGGGGAAGTACCCCAACTGCAGTTAGCCCAAGTGGAGCAGACAGCTCTCCCTAGTGAAGGCAGAGGGGCAGGTGAGTTGGAAAGGTACCAGGCCAAATCACTGCTTTCAGTCAGCTGACCAAAGTGCAAAACTATCCTTACACCTCAGTTTCCTCATTTGTGACACAGAAATAACCATATCTACCTCATAGAGTCACTATGAAGATTGTTGTTTATGCCATTGAGTTGTTTCTGACTTATAGTGACCCTATGTGACAAAGTAGAACTCAGTGGCATCACCAGGGTTGATGTCACCCAATGCAGTAACGCATGGTGTCACCCCCCCCATGGACCTCCTCCTGTACCAGACCATACAAGATCCTTAGTAATAGTTTTTGTACTAATGTTAGTAATAAATTGTAATTTCCGTTTATCACTCCCTATGAAT